AGTGCACCATGCCTGTATTCAGACCAAGGTCTGGCTCACTGTCTGAGTCAATTTGCCCCTAACAGGGCACCACATGTGGAGAAATCAAGGTGGTTTTCAGTCTAGTCTAGTTAAATCATGTCACCTTTGCCAGCAAGGAGGTTACGAGGATTTCTTCCACTGTTGTTTGCATATTTGTATGTGAACTAAAAGTAATAACTAGAAAGTTCCAGTGGGATCAGTCTTTTCTGTTTTCAACCTGAAGCCAGATTCAGTTGCCAGTGAAGTGATTCTGGCAGCTTTGGAAATGGTAGACTTATGGTTTGTGTGTTAGAGGATACACAGAGAGGTTTGGGGAAAAAGTTACTACCAGCTAGTAACTGTAGAAAGTTGGATGCCTACATACATAGTTCATGTGTGTTGTCACAGTAAGAAAGGATCAGATACACTGCCGGGACCATCAAACAACTGGACTTGAAGACAGACACCTTACAGACACACACCCACTCTTTAGAACAACCAACTGTTGATTGATCCGGACAGTGCTGGTCTAGGATAGTGGCTACTGTACATGTATTTTGTTTGAATCATTCAAGGGAAAACATGGACTGACAGCTAGTTTCTCCTTGTTTCTGTCTAAACACAAAGTACATGTAAGGTTCTAGCACCAAACTTACCATTTCCTATTGTTTTATATAGTTTGATTTGATCAAAAACTATTTATAAAGGAACTAATAGTAATAACCAGGAGATCTTCCTCCCTGCACATAAATGCCCCAGTAGGGGTGGTTAGAGAGTACGCAAGAAGAAGAAGAAAATGCAATGACACTTGATTGAGAGGTGGATTCGATCCTCATTTCATGTTTGCAGTACCACAATGTACCATGTACATTGACATGTACATCAGGGGTATTGCTGATCCAAATCGGACCTCAAATACCACCACCCAATTTTCACACCTACGCCCTGTTCCCTTGCCAGTTACTGTAATGCTTCTGTTTTATTTCAACTTTTCCCAAGTGCCCATCCCCAGGGTCCTGCACAAACAGCTAACAGGTGCATCTGTGTTACTCATACTGGCGTAAGGTTCAGAGGAAGTGGCAGACTCATGAGAAGTGTATCATGTGTGATGATTGATCAATCGCAGGCCCAAAACAGCCCCAGAACAGTAAATGTTATGGTAGAAATATGAATAAGCCCTGATGTGTGCATGTGATGACCATGGTCAGAAGGGTCAGTAATGTTATCAGAGGGCATGTGTGATATATACTGCATGTGATAACTAATATGTTGCAGCCCCAGAAAAAAAACACTGTTTTATATGGCCATAAAATTTATGGACAGTTGGAATTATCATCATGATAATTATACACGGTCAGGTTGTAACAGATATCAAAACTGAAATACATAATTTTATATGTACAGTTCCGAAAACAGATTTTGGTCTATTTAATGTTTCTTGACGTGTGTATTTGAACCCTTGAAGATCTGAAGCTTAATGCCTCATTTCAAATGAAATTAGGTATAATAAAGGTATAAATGGCATTAAGTTTATTTGCAATTATATACATGTTACGCTCCTTGTCAATTTGGTAAAATTGATGTATGTATTTCACACAGTCAGGATTATCAAATGCTTTTTTAATAATGGTTACTCCTACATGACATCGTACCAATTTAAAAATTGTCAAATGCTTTTTTAATAATGGTTACTACTACATGACATTGTACCAATTTAAAAATTGGTACAATGTCATGTAGGAGTAACCAGACGATTTGTGACAGAGCACAGTTGTCATTTTGTAGTTCAGGAAATTGTGGTCATGTTCAGATTGTGTAGGTGTTATTGGTGTAAACATGGGCATGTGACAGGATGTTTATAGGGCAGGAAAACAGCAACAGCAAATTACCGACAAAAGTTGTTTCCTAAACCCTGGCTTTGAACAGACCCCATCCGGTGGAAAATACCACTTGTGATTCATTCTTCACTTGCCATTAACCTTTCCATTATCAATGGCATCTTATTCTTTTAATTTACAACTTGTACAGTAACTTTTTTATTTTAGTGTAATGAAAAAATTGCTGATGTAAATTCATGTACCACAACCTAATCATATAGCCTAACTCTGTACACATATCTGTGCATCTGTACATGTACAATATATGTATATGCTAAATGTTTAACAGTTATACTGTATATAAGGGGGACAATGATGATGATGATGATACACCAACTCAGGGTATGAATTTCTTTAATTTTTTGTTCCTAAAATTAAAAAAATAACTCTGACTGAAACACTTGAGATTGTATACCCAGGGCCAAAGTGGTATGCGGTTACCTGGCTAAATAAATAATAAATGAAATAAAATTTATTGGTATTTTGTGGTATTTTCAGCCCTGAACTAGTCTATTTACCAGCTGCACACCTGGCTAGCTAACAATGTGTCTCTCTTCAAACCTAACTATCCTGAAGGGCATACAGTCTGCATCCTTCCCCATGTTTACACTACTGAGCCCCTGTCCTCCCCAGGGCACGTTTTCCCCTGACCCCCAGGGTACCGATTACACGCCCTGGCTACTGTACACCTGATCAAAGCTCCTGCTGACAGGAGGGGAGCCCAACAGAGGAAGGGATACCCTTGGCTTTGCCTGGCTTTATCCCTCTCTGGGGACAGATAGGGTCCAGTCTGAAGACTCCCTTGTGGAGGGTAGGAAGCTTTGAACGTCTTAACTGCAGTGCTGGTGTGACATGTGTAGCAGAAGGATGTCTACGTGGTTTAAGTCAGCCAGCTAATTGGTCAGGAGGATCACAGAAGGGTCAAGAGGAGGTGGCAGTGGTGGTGGTGGGTGGGGGTTAACATTATAGCAGAGTTCTAGCCAGCCTGAAATTTTTCTCCATCTATTTTGTTTGACATAAGTTTATATCAAGTGTGACAATCCTAGGGTGGTGGTGGTGGCATTCTCCCCTGGGAAATTTTGAAATCATCACCCTTCTGAAACACTATTTTCTGCATTTACCATTTTGAGAGGCAAATATTGCTGGACTAGTAGACTTACATTTGTACATGTAGTTTAATGACATTACTTTAGGATGGTGGCTATAGAACACTGATAAGGGTGTACATGATTGTGAAGGAAGTAAACTTACAGTTTTACATACCTTTCTGTACACACATTGTACTTACATAATTATAATCTATGCAGGTAAGCTTAAGTTTCAGATATAGTACGTTGAGACAGAGACATTGCCCGGGGAAAGACCCTGGCATTAGAAAGATTCATGCACAATTTAGTTTATCCAGGTGGTGGATTGTCAGGTCTAAACCTGGCCCTTAATAGTCTGTGCCTACCCCTGCTACTGGATACAGGATCAAAGTCAAGTGTTGACGGGCAGATCAAAGGGAGAAAAGATAATCATTACAGCACAGTGTCCTGAACTACAGACACTTGTGTATACTGTGGGGAAAACAGCCAAACTGCCAGCGGCACAACAAACTGGCCGGAAAATCAGCCCTTAAACAATGCAAGGCTGCTGGAGTGTGTGAACTTGAAAGGCAGACTCTTGTTAGGGATCTTGTTTGAGGGGGGATTAGTTCTGCTTGAGGACAGGGGAGTGAAGGAGAGAGGCATGGCAATGGTCAGGGTGTTTGGAGACAAAACAAAGAAAGTGTTATGGGAAGGGCTTAGAAGTCAAGGTAAGTTTGTACAGTGCTGGTGACAGCAGGGTTGAGGACTTGCAGCATTGGAAACTGTTCTTTAAGGAGAGAGGAACATGGGAAACTCAAAGTGTGGTGTTATGGTTGGGTGTTCGGCCCAGAACCCATATGTTGTGCACTTTACACACTTTAGTTGAGGATGATACAAGAACAAGCTCCATAAATATTACCTGCTCACTTAATTTCAAAACAGAGACAATAACTTAATAAGAACTGCATGTAAACAGTTTACTGGGTCTTTTGTCTGACCCTTACCTCTGCCTTCATGACCTCAATGAAAAGTGGCCTACAGGCCAATTTGATCTTCTCATGAATAAAGAATGGGTCAAACAAACCAACAAAGGATGAGCAACACTTTGTTTTCTCAACTACATGTAGAAGCAACTGCACGACAGCTTTTTTCAAGGGAAAAGTTCACATGCAGAAGTGCTCATCTAAAAAGCTGTACATGCACATGTCACAACATTTGTTGACAAAGTCATGTCATAAATACTATAATTCAACATATACCTTGCAAAAGGTAGCATTACATGTACCTATTAAGGTAAACATAGGCTTCTCATCCATTTATGATTATCTGTGGGTGAGTGGCATCTGTATACAGCTTACATTTATCTTTACTGCAGCTATTTTAGAAGTATACGTGTGTATCACAAACTTTAACAGGGCTTGAAATATTTTTTTTCTGCATACCTGCACTGGCAGGTAACATGGAAAATTACCTGCACCAGACAAATTTTACCAGTGATGTTCAAAATTTAGGAAGTATGGATCAAATTCATACCATTAAAAACTGCTAAAAACTGTTGCCATTATTTCTTGTACATGTAAACTCCATAGGTGGGAACAGCCCAGGAAGCAAATAAAAATCCACATACACCTTCATGTATATGTAAACGCAGTACATGGACCAGTGCAGCTTAGGTGCAGGTAGACATCAGAAATATCTGCACAGCTCCAATTTTACCTGCACTAACTGGTATATGCAGGTGATATTATCAGCCCTGGAAAGTGTCGGATTATCTGGTACAAAATAAAGCAATAAACTGAGCAAACCGGAAGCACATGTGGACAGAAGCCCTTCAGTGGTCCTTGTGCACATGTTGCAGTGTGAAGTACATACATGTACAAACACACCTGCAGTCAACATATACTTCTCACAGTTAGACCTGTTTTATGGTACTGCAATGCCCCCTAGCATGGCAAGGAAAAACTGCAGTTGAATTATACATGGGTTGGGGAGAAAAGACAGTGGAAGAAGTGTTCAAGTCTTCAGCTACACTTTATGGACTTCAGTCACATACTTGGGTCACTGTCTGCTGGTAACTTCCTCTTGACCCCAACCTTGACCTTGTGGTCCTCCTTGAGGATTTCTGCGGATGTTCCAGAGGGGAGGGGCAGCTGAGGGTTGGGTGTTGGCCCAGGTTTGTTGCTGAAATATGGCATCTGTAGGGCCTGTTAGGAAACAACAAATACTACTTACTAGCATGGACTCATAACATTTCTAATATGCCACCAAAATCCTATCTCAATTTCTGTAAAAATTCTTCCTACAAGAAGAAAATTTTTAAGATGTACATTCATGAAAATAATTAACTGTACTGTATATCATACTTGTAGACTAGATATTATACAGACACTTTTCATTTAAATGCTTTGATACTGAAAATATTACTTGTCAAAATGGGAAAAATGTTGCTATATACCAATACATGTACCCATATTGATGTCCCTACGTAGTCAGTAACTTAGGCCATGTTGATTTGATTATATGGATGACATCCTCTGGGAACCCCAAAACTGATGCGAGCGTGCGAATGAAAAAAAAGTTTTGCAAAAAAAAAAAGTTGCTTTCACTATGAAATCTACGTGGTCATGAAGGTTGAACAAATGGCACAGAATATGTTATGGCGAATAATCTACTCTTCGAATTCATTTCTTTACATTTTTGTCTTTTTTCCTTTGATTTTGGCATTCTACGACATTGGTATCGTTTCTAAATGTTTTCCTTGCAACTTATGGTATATTTTTGCTCATTTAGCAACTGTTTTGCACGATTTACAGTATGGTTGAAAACTTTTTTTTTTTTTGGAAACGGCCGAAAATTCATCAAGCGCGGATGTCATCCATATAATCAAATCAACATGGCCTTACATGTAGGGACAATGAGTTCTGCTTGTACATTCAAGTGCACTTTGTAAACTGCAGAGATCTGACCTGAGAACAGTTATATCTCTGAGAAGGGTTGAGACAGAGGAGTTTCCCCAGCAGTGAGATCAGGTCATCAGCTGCTGCCGTGAAGATGTCCTTCAGCGGGGTGCCTGGAAACTGTTTAAACTCTATATAGTCTGGGAGGGCCTTCATCCCCTGGAATGTGGAATACGTAAGAAATAAATAAAAAAGTGTAAACAATATATTAGATATACATGTTGTCTTGCAAGGACTACATTATACATACATGTAACATTACATGTACAGTCCCATTGAATGATGAACTGGCCAGACTCGGACAAGTATAACCTAAAAGCAGATTGTAGTGTTTTAATTATAAGTACATACAAATAGGCAGTCTGGAAAGGACTTCATATCCTGGACAACATGACTTACCAGTAGTACAAGAGACATTTCAACTCTAGCCGTGGACCTGTTAAACTCATCTGTGCAATTCAGGCTTACTTTAGTGTACATTTGATGTAAGCTGCATCTGCACCTCATGATGGGTGTAACAGTCCACATACACATGCAGTGCATATCCACATTGTTTCTTCAGACTGATGTACTGTTCCAAATTAAATCATCCCCCAGACATGATTACTGGAGCAGCTGCTGGACTTTTCAGTAAGAGTTATAAGTACTTTGGATCTTCAAAACTCTTTAATTTAAAGACTCTAAGAACTGATATATCCTGAAGAGGACGATACAAGACCTTCCTTTTCCGACCTTCCTTTTCCGTGGACTACAAAACCTTATTCAAATGCTGAGAAAAGAAGCCACAATGGTACACAACTATGACAGTTACTACTATCCATGGTTGACTGACACATTATGTAAACATGTACACAAAGGCAGACAGGCCATGTCCACATGTTTGTACACGAGACAATTCACCACAAGTGGGCTTCCTACAGTCATTCACACTGGAGGAAATGAGAGGGAAGGCAAATTTTGTCACGGTATATTTAATTTATGGTTGGTCCATTTTCTTCTGTGCATACAGAAGAGATTTTGAATAATTTTCCATCTGCAAGCTTGTAAATTGGGAACAAAAGTTGTGCAAAACGGGATTATGAAAAAAATAATGGAGGAACTTTATTCCCAGAGACATGGATTTATAGTTGAAAGGCAAAGGTATTCACTGTAGCATTTTAGTGTATTTTCACACATTAGGATTCTGGAAAAAGGTCAACATGGCATGGTGACCCCCACTGGTTGTGATTGTTTGACCCCTTGACACGGGGGTTATTTGCTGGGGAAATGATGGGAAAACAAGGCTGTGTGGTCAGCCACAGGAGACTAACCATTCCTGGACTTCACACGTCTTAATCACAGGCTCCTGACACACTGGGGAAAATGTAAGTATCCAAATCTTATTTCAATCTTTTAAGACTTGTCTACTTTACACTATGTCTTATAAGAACATGCTACATTGTAGATACTCTAATTTTTCTATGTTAGTCTCCAAGCAGATCTTTTGGTGGCTCCAAGACAGTACCAAATTGGCAAGACTATCATTGGCAGGGCAATGCCCAGTAAGCCACCCAAAGAAAAAAAAGAAAAAAGACACGTATGTACACGTATGTGACCAAGGACAATTTCAATTAGTACCTGCACTTGACTGTTTTTTTGTCACTTCTGAGTTTTTCAAATACTGAAACGATCAAGTGAAACTTAAGAAATCAGGTTTGCAGGCTCGGAGGGTCTAGTGCATCCAAGAAGACTGGTTTAATGGTACATTCAAAATACCCGACAACTTTTACATCAGAAGTTGACACTCTTGTTTGTTTCAGACTAAACGTCCCATAAAACCAAGTATTGCCTATGTGTCAAGTAGTTCTAGTCACATTATCCTAGCCTGGTATACACACAGTTAATGATAGCCTTTATCTGTTCTTCTTTTATTCTCTGTATCAGTTTTGTCTGTGTAATGTTACTGAATGTCATTCTACTAAAAACTGTAAGAACTAGGAAGACAAGGACTTTTTTCAATTGTTGATGCCACAATATTAGCATTGTGAGGTTGAACATGAATATTATAATGATATGATTTTATTTTTGCAAAGCAGAAAAAAACTAGGCAGGCAAATCCAAGAACCAATAATTTTGATTAACTTGGTGTCTACTGTGGCATTACAGTACTCTTTCTTCCCCCACTCAGGCCCTCCACCGTGTTGTTTGTACTTCCTCCCATCAACCTCAACAACAACATCATCCCTCAAGCTGACGTAACCAAGGAAACCGCATCCAGCATCCCCAGTACTCCTGCCGCCCTCGTCCCCAGGACTGACCCCAGGGTCACCTACACCAGCAAAGCCGTGTACCAGCTACCCAAGAGGTTTATTGACGCCGTCAGGGTCGGGTACTCGCCCAAACCGAGATCGTATGCCGCTGCTGTGATGACGTGTTTTGGCACGGCGACCAGGAAGACTTACCGGAGCGAGGTTGTGTGTGAGCCAAGGAAACTGAAGAAGTTTGCCTCTGCTCTGATCGTGCACCCCAAGAGGCTGACTAAGACATACATTACTACTGTCAAACACACGGTACAGGAGGACTGAGAACACCTGTGCTTTTCACAATGTCTTCAAAAAGACACTGGGAAAAGCATGAGGGAAGACTACATGTGTATCATTTGATGAGGACATCACCATCTAAAATTAATTTCAAACTGTAAGTGTAACCTCTGCGTGAAGTTATGCTTTCTTGGAGAGCTACATGTAACAGTGTGTTTGCTGAAGTGACTGATAATGTGATATAACTAGAGAAGTCATGGGAAGAGTTTCAGGATTGTTGGTTTGTGGGCAGGTGTTGGACTAAGGAAAAGTGGTTGAAATTTGAGAACATTGTTGTGGAAGGTCCTTAAGTAAGGATTTAAAAGTATTATCATGTTGTTAATGATATTGGGAATGGGAATGTTTGTGCATTTAAGGTTGTTGAAGAGGTAATTATTTTGATATAAATGTACATGGAGTGTTGGCTTGGGTGGAAAGAGAAAGTGTGTGTGTGTAGAAGAAAGATTGTGCTGCTATACATGTAATAGTACATTGTAATATCTATGTGTCTTCCATGGCAACAAAGAATCATAGCAAAGCATGTTCTAAAAATCAAATGACAAAGAACAGATGAAAAGAGTCTCTACTGCCAACTGGTGGTAAGAAAAAGCTGTGAGATTCCTGAAATGATTTGAGTTGGTACACAGCATGTAAACGCTTGGCTCCAGAACATGTGTACCACCAACTGGTAGATCCAAACAACAGCTAGGTGACATGTCAATTTGCTTGTGTTCCACTTGGGAAAGGAATGGATGGAATGTTGTGGCAACTGACAGTGATTTCCGTCCTTAAACAATTCCCTTCACTGTGATTTCTGTCCAACTGTACCTGTACACATGTTAGCAGTTAAGAAACAAGCGTTACGTGCTTGTGTAATATTTTAGCACTTAAGGATAATTGTAGAATAAAAAAGTCATATGTATGTGATGGTTAAAATCCTAATCTGAGTTTCTGTCAACAGACACTTGGATCAGGATCTCTTCTAGTGGAATCCCTGATTGGAGTCTGTTAATTGGCAGAGATCCCAATTGGAGTCTGTAAAATTAAAATATTTGCTTACAGGATAGTAAGAACTTTTCATCTTTGATTCATGTCACTGTAGATCAATGGATTGACTTAAAATTTGTAAGTGGAAAATGAGCCTAAAGCATTAACAGTATCCTGATCAGGGATCTCTACCACTACAGTACACATAATTGCTAATAATTATTCTACCAGATAGGAGTCTCCACCCTATGATACCATATATATCATGGACATGAGATAATATGTCTTAGTAATTTGTCTGTGATGATGATGATTTTTTTTCTGTAATCTTATGTGTGACTGCCTCAGTGAGATACTACAATGTACATTAAATGGTTTTCTGGTGCTCACTGTTGAGACTATGTCTTTTCCGTGTACTCACAGGCCAGGTGTCCTCTGAGGGAGTCCCAAGTGCCCGAAAAATCTTGCTAAGTTGGTCGATGTCAGAGTCCCCAGGAAGGAAAGGAACCTTCAGGAAAAAGAGAAATATAATTTTTAAGAACAACTTCTAATATCCTTTAATCTTGCAATCCCTTAAAGACGAGTTTAACTAAATACAACGTACACATACAATGAAATCCAATTGTATCTGCCCATACCCTGAGTAGGAGTTCAGCCAGGATACAGCCCACAGCCCACATGTCCACCCCTGTGCCATATATCCTGGCTCCATATAACAGCTCTGGAGCACGGTACCACCTGTGTGTACATTCAAGGCTCATCAATATATGACTAATGCAAAATATTGTATATCTTAAGGTTAAAACAAGAACCTTGAAAATACAATTATTGTGTTCACCTTCCCTGTCAAAAAGGAACAATATAGTATATTATATACAGTGTCATGTATAAAGAGCTTGGATCTTGTTTCTTGAGCAATTAGCCCACATCAATCTTTTGATGGTCATACTTGTTTGTAGAGAAAATTAACGAACCTGGACAGCAATCAAAATAAAAATGAATTTGATACTTAAACGGTCAAACCATTTACTCTCAGGGCATCTTCCTAAGTAATTTTAAAACATCTAAAGAACCAGGAAATTAATTGGTAACGTATTTCCTTATTTGTCAGATACTGACCTAGTGACCACCTGGTGTGTGTAGACCCTGTTGGGGCTGCCAAATGTTTTGGCCAAACCGAAATCTGTGATTTTCAGGATCCCCTGACTGTTGACCAGGAGATTGTTAGGCTTCAAATCCTAAAGTAAAGAACAAAGGTACCAATTAGCACTTAGCATCACACCACAAGCATTGGACTAGCCCTCTGCATACAGAAGGTATTTCATATAAAATGTTAGATAGACAAATTTCACATGTAAAGGGAAAGATGTTCTTACCCTATGCAATATCCAATTGTTGTGGAGGTATTCCAGCCCTTCTAATGTCATGATGGCATAGGCCTTAATATGTGGTGCTGTCATTACAATACTGGTATCCTTAATAACCACCTGAAACACATAACAACATCAATACTAGATTTGAAATGTTGTTTTGTGTATACAAGAAGCAACAGCGAAAGAAAAAGCATTTATGTCTTCTTGTAAAACACATAAAGTTGTACTTACTAGCACAAAATTAAAGTACATGTAAGTTGGTACATTATTGTTCCCTTACCTCCATATCTGTGTCCATGAAGTCAAAGACAAGACTAATGTTGGACTTGTGCCCAAACACATCGTAGAGCTGTGCAAAACCAACAAGCAATAAACAACAATAACTTAGCTGTCACCAGGATTATTAACTTCTGTGGTGATTTCAAGCTGGGATGTACATATATTCTTCTTCTTATTTACTAAAATACCCTCCCAAATGAAAAGCTTGTCTCTGTATGTTATTGTCATCTTGATGGTGATGTAAGTTGTAATTTATCAATAATGAAATCAAACTATTACACACTACAGGAAATAATGGCACATTGTGTAACTCACCCCTATTATGTTTTGGTGACTGAGTTCTTGAAGCAGCTTAATTTCTCTAAGAGCTGTTCTGTTGATACCTGGAAAAGGGACAATCAATCAATAAATCAATCAATCAATTCAAAATATTGTGAATTGTTAAATTTTACATTGGTTTTACTTAGTGGTAGGAGGGAAAGGGATGTCTTTTGAATTTGCGGTTGAAACAATTCTGTAGCAAAGTAGTACGTTGTACACATACTTCTTCTAGTAACGTTACATCAAAGAAAGACTTGTGTCATGAATTCGCAGTGGAGAGATTGGCACAAGCAATGCAAAAATAATAGCCTGTGTGCCACCTGTTTGTATGGGCTCCTTGCACTCAACAAAAAAGCTTTTTTTTCTGGGCCATTGAGTGCAAGGAGCCCTGTTTATACAAAATGGATGGCACCCAGGCTGCAAAAATATGACCACAGCGAAAGTTTCATGATTTACAGAGAATACAGTACACAATAATGTTATGTTTTTAGAATAAAAATTTGAAAAGAAAGAGATTCAAGTCTTTCAGGTCTATTTAATTCCATTCAAAACAATTCACTATTTTGAGCTATAACTTACCATCTTTAGCCTCGGCTCTTTGCCCTAATTTAATCTGTAAGCAGCAAAAACATGATAAAATTATAGAGGTTTTACAGGTATAATTTGTCAATGACTAACAATGACAACACAAATTTGCTGATCAGTGTTTCAACAATGTCTCTGCCTATTTGACTTTTAGTTTGTTTTGCATGCATATCTGTTAGGCCTAAGAAAAAATGTTGTATTTCCTGTTTCCTGACCAACCCTAGAAAAAACTGCCGGCCGACCCTAGCCGTTTTTTGTGTGGACCACTGAAATTTTTCAAGCTGACCCACCATTTCTAGCTCCATGGTCTGACATCTGAGTGATGAAATCAGTTTTCCAACATTGACATTGAAAATAGAGGTGTCCCAATGCAAGTTTTACTTTGTTAAAATTAAACTATTTATACGTCTGTAGAGTCTAATACAAAACAAGAGAAAAAAAAGATAATCCCTAGTCCCTACCTACCGAACCTATTTTTGTCAGGACTGAAACAGGAAACACAACATTTTTTTGGTACATGCTACACAACTTCATAAGATCTAGATCAGACTCATACCAGGAGGAACCACTACTCCTTTCATAATTTTAAGTGTGATGGGTTCTTTACTGCGCAGTGGTGCCCTCATATTCATAATCAGTGTCACTGCATTTCATAATATATATGTACGTCTAGAAGGAGAAAAAAAGGTTATGGCACGGTGGCCTGGTGGGAGACATATCTCAAAGTGACCAAATCTCACCTTTTTCACAGCAACAATCTGTCCTGTTTTGGTGTCCTTTGCTTTGTACACAGTGGCAAACTAGAGAGAACATGAAATAATTCTTAACTGAATGCAACTGCTGACCACACTACTAGATACGCCATTCAATAATCCTGAAACAAATTATGACATAACTTCGTAAAATGAAAATAGAAAATGTTTATGGCAGTGTTGTACGGGTCTGCCTATTTACCGGAATACACCGGAAAACACAGTTAAACACCGGAAAACACCGGAAAACACATATAGGAGGCTAAAATCTACCGGAATACACCCTGATATGATGAGATAACATACCGAATTGCTGTATTTTGACATGAAGTAACGTGTATATCGCCGCGGGAACAAGAAATCGTTATGAATTGGCGATCGGCGATCGCGGAGGCGAGCCGACCAGTCGCCATGTTTGTTTACATTGCCGACTACGAAATGTTTGTTTAACGCGATCGCCGTACAGAAGTGAAATTTACCGAAATGAAGAGGTCTTTGATGCAGGTACCGCAAGTTGCTACATTCTGGCATGAAATAAGTCGTATATGACTTTGTTATATGACGTTGGGAACAAGAAATCACAGTCGGACTATGAATCGGCGGAGTCGACCCGGCCAGACGCCATGTTTGTTTACTTAGCAGCCGGCTATAACCTTTATCCGTCACTTTTTCTCAGTGACAATCATGTGACGCCAATTTCTAAAAATGATGAACCGTTTTTCTTGTCCTATTATATGTTGACACCGTAGAGTACCTTAGTCCTTTTTGCTGAATATGTTTCGCTGTTTCTCCGATCCCGCTGATAAGAGAAAATCGCGTACTAAACCAAACACGGCCGATTCGCGTTTATGCAGGGTTGTTCTAGGGAGATGAACCTTTATCCGTCACGGTATCCGATATACACACCACAACTTTCTCTGTATTGTTTGCCTTTAGACAACATCTGTTATTTTCCGAGGTGGGCAATGAGTGCCCGAAATTCAATCCCCGTCCTACGACACAAAGAAAATACGGCAAAACGATTGTACAGTGTTGACAACGCCCGATTTAATCGGCGATAGTCAGCGGAGCTCGTACAGTTCGAATGAAAATAGAATATTGCAAATGCATCTATGTTTGGGACGACCTTATTTCACGAAACGGGGCAAATAAAGAGTTCGCGATGGATTTTAGTTAGCGAAAAAAAGAACCAAATACAAAAGGAAATTAAATGCCGCCTCTTATAGACCGGATCGCTGGGAACGCGCGGTCACAACATCGCAGCACTCAAATCACTAACGGATAACACTAATAACATGTGAAGTAACGGCCGTGGAGACGGAGCGCCGCGCACGTGTTTACCATTTTTAAGACTTCACAAAATTTTAAGGAGAATACTAAATTCTGGAGCGCCGGGTGTCAGCGGAAGGCACACATTGAATGGGGCCACCGTGCCTACTGCAACCTGAATGAACCACGGAAAAGTTAGCTCGGCGTAGTTAATCAAAAATTTGATTGACCGCCCATCGGAGAGCAACGATTTATCGAGACGGAAAAGTGAGCCTGTGCTATCGAATTTAAAATTTGATGCAAACCAAACGAGAACGAGGGGCTACTGGGACTTACAATTCTGAACGGGAACGAGCAAAAAGGTTTCAAAAAAATATCTCGTAAACTACTGCTTATGTCACAAAATCAACACTTCCCGGCATGGAAAGCTTCTCGTCGCTGGGACGTTCCCACGTGTTGCCAAGACGACGGCAAGTTCTGATCAGACAGAGCGGCGTCACGCCCTCAGCAGCACGAGCATGGGCCCCGCCCACCGGGCGGGCGGCAGAAGATTTCAAAGCGTTATTGTAGCAAACCGTGCCGTGTACATTTACCCCGCATTTTCACTTCGTACCGCTGGCTGGTATAGTCCCGCTACAAAATAATTTTCCTGCAGCATTTATTAGGATTTAAAGAGATTTGTGATACGAAATGAAAAGATTTCTGTCAACCGAACCTTTGTAACGGCACGGCATGGATATAATTTTTAAAGATTTCTGTGTTAACTAGCCGAAAGTGCATTAGAACTGGCCATCAGTTGAGGCAAAACTGCCATGTTATATTCATGTTACGTTACGACGACCAAGAACGTTTACGGCTTGCAGACCATTTTAAATCTTACCAACCCTCTTAGAACTGTGTTTACTCTTACGGGGGTATTTATTTTCGGCCGTGGTTCCACTGAGATCCTGGCGAACTTTCCCGTCGGCTCCGTCGGCATGACCTACGAGCACCGGGCGTATTTGCGCTCGGGACGTGAGTGACCTAGTACATTTTCTTACCGTGCGTCCGAGTCTTGTTTTACTGCAACGTCGTGTCAATATCGACGATAGATGGGAGGCACAAAGGCTAGGGATTCACCGTAGTGTGTTAACAAGTAAACAATAATCGAGTCTAGGCGTGGTGGGGCGTGCCCGCTAATGTCATAGTGTAAAATCTGGATTTTAACACGTGCGCGGCGCTCCGTCGCCCCAGCTCTGTAAGTTCTACAGTCCGTGATACGTGTCCGGGAAGAACTGGACGTAACCATAGGCTTCCTTTCTATTCTTTGTTATGTTTTTTCTGCGATTTTGTGTTTGGCCAGTCGTCTAATATAGACTGCGCCGGGTGATATAGGTTAATACGTTAACATGAACGTAACTATGAGTATGACCTGGACGGTATTAAAAGAAACACATATAAAAATACACATTTTTCCAGGGAAATATGCAAATTCTACATCACGTGTGCCTGCTACGCGTCTCTGATTGGTTGAGTTTCTCTGCCGGCAAAAACAAGCGTGGGGACGCCCGCTCAAATAGTTTTCTTTGTTTGAAAATAACGCTAATTTCCACCACTACATAACGAAATTCTTGTGAATCAACCCTCCAGACTAAATTTTTAGCTTAGGAGCGCATGCGCTCCTAGCCTCAAAAAGTTAGGCGCGCAGGCAAACATTTGGGCGCGCAAACAAAAAATCTGGTCGCGCAAAGTACTTTTTAATTTAGAAGCCAAGAGAATAATGTACCTAAGCAGACAATTAATAATTCTTTCATTATCATAGAAAAAAAATCTAAATTCACCATTTGTACTAAAAGAATTGTGATAAATGAAAGACCAAACAATGATTTTAAAAGTAACTGTCTTTAATGTGTTCAAAGTCACTTCACCTCAGTCGTTAGACCAGGCTGACTGATATGTCGGTCTCCTAGGCCTCTGCAGGGTTGGACAAGTTTTCTAAAATCCAACCCTATCGGGCAAGTGCATGGTCATTTTCACTTGCCCGAACCAACTTTTCACTTGCCCAAAATATAAATGACATATATCTATGCTATTTATCATTGCAACAATGAAATTCCTTTTATTTTTTAGGAAAAAAAAACACTTAACAGATAACAATATTAACATTGCTACTCAAACCATTTTGTTAACATTAAACTTAAAGGTACAGGTTTTCCACAACAATGAAGACAATCTTCTTTATTTTTTACAACTTTTCAGGTATTACACTACATGTCTGAAGTAGTTTCATTGACAAAAATAATTCATAAAAAATAAAAGACAATAAAAAGCTCATGGCAAAAGGACAGAGTAGAAAACAAGGGGAAGAATCTATTTGGAATTGCCTATAATTATTTAATAATAATGCTACACAAATGTCTAAATACCTTGAGTTGAAACTTTGCTATTAATATTAATTATTTCTTCAACTGTATCAAAACAATCTACAACTTAGTTTCAGTTGACCTTTGAACAAATGAAAAGTCTGCACAACAGCGATCTGCCCAAGTTTTCCTTAGAGGAGTTCTAGTAGAAAATCATATCAGTCACGCATTGCCAAACTTCCCTATCCTGCACGCTCCTGGGCCATGAGGGAGGATCTCTTTTTCAAACACAAACTTTGCCAACAATCAAATATTTGTGGCTGATAAAGATATTTATCTCCTTGGTTTCCCCCCAAATTTAGGCCAGATGGAAACATCGTGTATGACTACCGGTCGCGCTAGGTCCACTGCACTACACACTGCACTGCACAAGTTTTGAAGGCGAGATCTCGTCACCTGACCCCTCTAATGGTATAAGGATATCAAGTCTCGCGAGAGTCGGGCGGCGAGTGCACACCAAATGAAAACAAGATGGCGACCCGGTTGTGTCGGGCTTGTTTTTTCGCCGGAAAATAGCTGTTTTGCCGCTTTATTTGCCGAGATAATGGTATCTACGGACTTGTAATGGGTTTTCTGACAAATGAACATGATTTTGCCTGGCATTGATATGACATTCTTACGGGAAAAAATAAGAAATTTTTGCCTCTAACAGCGCTATAGCCAATAATTTAGGCGCACCGCGGATTCTCTGCCGGTCGCGCAGTGCGCGACCAGAGTAGCAAGTTTAGTCGCATTTCTTAATTTTTGGTCGCATATGCGACCAAAACGGTCGCAGTCTGGAGGGTTGTGAATAAATGTATAACTCAAAAAGTCTTTTGGGGAAATAAATATTCTTATCCGGATATTTGGTGTATTTGGTGTTCTTTATTCATGATCGAATGGTGCCGAAGTCAGCGTACCCTGACGCTCATGAGCGATTCGCGATCGCCTAAATATCGCTGAAGAGAACATGTTCAGATCCTGGCGATTATGTTTTAGATCGACTACGATAAAACTTCAGGGCTGTCCTCGGCAAAATCAGATGAAATTCCAGTGTCAAGCTTTGCAGGAAATTATCAAATGCCGCCGCTCGCTGACGCACGCACTCGCTCTGTGCGGGTCATTAACCTTCGATTTGCGTTGCTTCCGGAAAATGTCTGGCAGTTTTATCGTCGGATTTTTGCGCTTTTATCCAACAGACCGACCTCGTAGCAATCATTCACGGGCATCCTATGCAACTATCTTTCTTCCAACTAGTTCGGAGTTGTGTGCACTGTGTATGGGAACCGCATCAATCTGAATATATAATCAATTCTCTTCTGTGATGGCGCTAAACAAACATCGTAGTCCCCAATGTAAACAAACATGGCGACTGGTCGGGTCGCTTCCACCGATCGCTAAATTATAATGATTTCTTGTTGCCGGGTTCCTGTGGCGATTTACACGCTATTTAATGGCAAAACACAGCAATTTGGGATGTTATCTCGTCTAAGCAGGGTGTATTCCGGTAGATTTTAGCCTCCTATATGTGTTTTCCGGTGTTTAACTGTGTTTTCCGGTGTATTCCGGTAAATAGGCAGACCGGTGTTGTACGCCCCCCTCCCCACAAAAGAACAGCAGAAACAACAAGGTTATGAAGTGGCATTATGCACAATAGAAATATATCATCCTCTCCATTTTAAAGTACACTCGTCTACGCATGGTAAAACAGTGGATCTGTCCCAAATTTACCTGTCCTTCGCCAAGAAAGTCAATCTTTTGGTAACGTCTGGACCTGTCGGCAGCCATTTTGATTTTCCCACCCGTCTGCGGACACGATGTGTCCCATCGTGCACTACGGTAGACTGTTCCACTATTGAAAATAGGGAGTGGTGATTGTTCCACTTTTGAAATAGGGGCCGCATCAGTTAGATTTAGAGGTCTACAGGAAGCCGAGATAGCGTGAGGGTAAGTATAACGTCTGCACCGCACAGAAAAAGACATGTAGACCCACTGTCATATGGCAGTGCAATGTTGCCAGTTGGTCTGTCCTTCATGTGATAACCATTCAGCACCAAGGACAGGAAAATGAGTTTTACTCATGCAGGAAATGCATTGTGGAGTCTGCAACTACAGCTTACAGCTACGTGAGTGAGTGAATTGGTTTGGTTGGTGGGAGAGTCAGTGGGTTTGAGTGAGTGAGTGAGTGAGTGAGTGAGTGAGTGAGTGAGTGAGTGAGTGAGTGAGTGAGTGAGTGAGTGAGTGAGTGAGTAAAGAAACTGTGGAAATACATGTTACAGTGGAAAATGTTTTCTGAAACTCAGAACACTTTGTAAAACAGGCCATCGTAAGTCAAGGTAGATATTCAGTCTATAGGGAAATTAATTCATCATCTTCATAATTGGTTCACTTGAAGAACTCGAAGAAGAAATCACACATTACTCATTATTTCAAAGAAGGCATTAGTGATTGATTATGGTACCAAACAGTTATTAAAACTCTATCAAAACTGTTGTTTTTTCTAATAACCAAGCTTTTCTCTTACCCATTTAAGAAGGAAATTGTATGTCTAGGAATGAGAAGACAATGCAAGACAACACCACAACATTTGAACAAGCTGAAGCTTGATCTTTATTCCCATAGTATACCAGACTGGTTACACTGGTTGGGCTTCTTCTTGTGCACCTCAAAGAACTTGTTCACTGTCCCATATGCTTTCACAAATGCTACCCCTGTATACAAGGTACTTTTCCGCTCTCTCTACATTAGGGCAGCTTCTAATGTTGTTGCTTGTAATCCCTGTAAAATAGCTTCCATCCAGAAATACCTCACCAAGTAAGGTGGTCATATCTCAGGGATGCAAACATTTGAAGCCTACAGCTTACTGCAGAGGGTGCCGAAAAATGCAACAAACTACTACTATTCAAAGAGGATTCTTTGATGCAGTACAGAGTGGTATTCCCAATCTTTCACGAACACTTCCTGGTCGGACCTCAGCTGTTTTCACAGCCCATTCATTACTGTGGCAGAGGTGGAGGAAATGTGTGCTTAACCCAATTTGTGACCTCATTTTGGAAGATACATTTTAAACAAGATTTAAGATCTTTTCTTTCCTGCCAAATAGACATTTAGAATGCACCTTTTTTGTCAAACAAATTTTGAAATGGCTATGACATAGAAATGGTTGTCAAACTGTAATCCATACCTTCTTTCTAAAATTGTACGCCAATTTCAAATGTGATTTGCTGAGTTTCGCA